ACCTTGTATTTTAACATACCAACACATAAATAAATAGATAAATAAATAAAAAGGGTAGAAGATTTAAGGCAAACATGACAAAATATTAGGGTTGAAACTTAGATAAAAGTAAAAGTAACATGCCCATGCAGGAAATCTTATGATTTGATGTTCACCTGTCACAATTTTTTTTTACCTCTACAAATTAGGTATCTTCTGTGTAAAAGCGCACAAATGTGGATACATTCTGAATAAAGAATCAAGCAAGCAAGCAAGCAAACAAACAAACAATTAAAAGATATCATAAGAAATGAATCACTTTTCCACCAATTTTGGGATACAAATCAGCCCTTACAGCATAAGTAGCACATTATTTAACAGTAAATAAACAAACAAACAAAAGATGGAAAGGGTAAAGAAAAACAAACTAAGTGATAGCACTTTGAAGGTTCATCAATCTATTAAAATGTTCTGCATAGATGTGCAAATGACATTATATAATATCCATAAATCTGCATAAACTCCTAAAACACAAACTGCAGGATTTTAAAGACCTGAATGTGTATTTTGAGGACAGGAGGAGAGGCAGTGCTTCCTGAATAAACAGATACAAGCGTCTCCTTCGATTTGGTATCTTTACGTTGTGCATGCTGCCATCCAGCGGCTGCTTTGCGCTATTACATCAGCAAACTCAGTCTTTCTGTATCCGGGTCGGCGGATCATGATGGCGGCCACCGCGGACAAAACAGCCGGCATGAGTAAAATGCTGCAGTTTATGAAACTTATCGGACAACTGAAAGTGAGTTATTATAGAAAGAGAACAAAGACATCTCTATGTTGTTATTGTAGATGTGTACATGTGATATGTTCCTGCAGCTTCATGTGTTTTTTGCCCCCAAACCTTTAGTGTACAGTATTTCCCCACAACGGAAAGCCAGAAAAATCTATCACCAGAAGCCAGAGATATATTAGCTTTTAGGTCTGCTTACCCGCTTTACCTGCAAAAACAAACAAACAAAAAATTTAAAAATATTCCTACTTGCACTCACGACGAGTTATCAAACACAGTGAAGTCAGTATCTGCACACAGAGTGTCCCCAGAAAACCCCTGATGAAGCAGTTATGAGACAGATATCTGCATGTGTGTCACTGATGGCTGATATTACTCGCAGAGGGTGCCGCGGACCGGCTGGGTGTACAGGAATGTGAAGAAGCCGGAGAGTGTGTCCGACCACATGTACCGCATGGCCATGATGTCTCTGACCATCACTGACCCCACAGTGGACAGGGACAGGTGGGTCCCATACACCTGAAAATCAGTTTTTACACCATTATCTAAAAGGAAAGCTGAATACATATAAATGTGCCTCTTTTTATGTGCTCTGGGTCTCTTCCTGTTAAAAGGGACTTCTTCCTTTCCGACATGGTGACAGCTGTCGCCATGTACTTGCTCATAGGAGATCACAGGGAATTGTTGCTCTTTCATATTGCAAGGTTTTTAGCTTGCAGTATAAAGGACCTTGACTGTTGTTGTGAACTCTTGTGTCTCCAGGTGCATAAAGCTGGCTCTGGTTCACGACATGGCAGAGTGCATTGTGGGAGACATCGCGCCATCAGATAACATCAGCAAAGCAGAGAAACACAGGAGAGAAGAGGCAAGCGACTTCATCATAAAGGAGGCGAATAATAAACTTGGCTGTAGTCGTAACTTCTCCTTGCCTTTCAGGAAGCGATGAAGCATCTAACGAGTCTTCTTCCGGAGGCTCTCAGACAGGAACTCTACGCACTGTGGGAAGTACGTCTCTGCAAACATGGCATTTGTTGCTTCCTGGCCATGTCTTTTATAAGTGGGATGCTTTGTCCTTGTGCAGGAATATGAAACTCAGAGCAGCGCAGAGGCCCGGCTGGTGAAACAGTTTGACCAGCTGGAGATGATCCTGCAGGCGCACGAGTATGAGGAGCTGGAGGGAACACCAGGAAGACTGCAGGAGTTCTTTGACTCCACAGCCGGTACGTCTCCAGCACGTCCATCGTTGCATTTACCCATTTTTCTACTCGCTCTGATCTTGCTGGGCTGTCTTTAGGTCGTTTCCACCACCCGGACGTTCTCCAGCTGGTCAGCTCTATGAACAAAGAGCGAGAAAGTCACATGACCAACACAGATGGCACAAGGACGTCTGAGCCATTGCAGGCTGCTGATTCGGTGCCTGAACAAGACCACACAACGTCACACGCTTCCTGACTGTAACACGCACACAGTGAACAGGACTTCTCAGGTAGACAGAGATGCTGGATTCAGACAAACAGTCTGTACAGGGACGCACAAGCTGTAATATTGTTCTTTTTCTGTCTAAATCACACCAGTTCATTGTTTTAGTCATTGTTTTATATGTTTTCAGTTTACACACATTATTGCATATTTTAAACCTGCAAGACAAAGTTAAAGCAAAGACTGAAGATTTGAAGTAGCAAATGACTTTTAAGGAACCGCTACGTTTACATATTGTTTAGTATCGCCATTTCTTGATCTTGTGTTTGTGACAGCTTGTGGTTATTTGATATACATGTACATCTTTAGTGTTTATTACTTGAATGTGAATCAGGTATAAATCTAAAAAAGATGCGGTCACACTTGGCTCCTGAAAGTAAACTTAGAGGCTTCAAAACCCAAGTTTGGCATCACATTTATAACTGTGGTGAGGGCTCTCATCTTAACTAGTTTGGTGCTTTAAACTTTTCACCTGTGCTGGTGTGATTAGATCTGTGATTGGCTGAACAAATAAGGTGGTGGAGTAGGTCTGATATCAGTTATTGTCAAAGATTCCTTCAGACTGATCTCAGTCGTTCTGCATTTTTAAATTAGACAGAAATTATCTGCAAACCTTCCACAGTCTCTGAGACTGACTGGCGGATGCGACTGTTTGCAGACAGCTTGCCTCCTAAAAGCTGACGTGTGCAATCATCGTGCAATCAAGCAGTTGTGCGTATGCAACACCTTCAAGCTTTGAGCAAGCATTTAATCACCTCAAGCTGCAGCTGGTTTAAGAAGATGAAAAAATCAATACCAGACACTGATTTCTTTTTAGATGGAAGGAGGTTGTGGTCCTATTTTTATTCATGACTGAGCTCTTGTCTTGCTCTGAATTAGAAGGTAGCTTTGTTGAGCTAAGTGTGTCCAGGGATTTTCTTTTTAGAAAACATTTTAGTATGCTGCAGGTATTAATGTTTGTTCTGTTTTCCTCATGCTTTTCCAGAGTGCTGTTGAAACTCTAGAGTGACATCAGGTTTGGTGCAAACAATCTTTATTATACATACTAAAGTCATAAAAACAGTTATTGATCATTCACATACAGTGTTATTGTACATGATGGTCACAGTTATGTCTTTTTGTGTTTATGCTGTAAAGACATTTATTACATAAAAGGTTTATTGAAATCAATTTTCCAAAGACAGAACAGAACGAGTTATTTTTAGTGAGTCTGTTTCTGTTTATGGATTTTATTGAATGTATTTCAAGGGCAGAGCCAAGCATCTTCTCATGGGAGAGGACCAAAAACAAAAGTTTAACACATGAAAGAGAAAGTAAAAACTACAAAACACAAACGATTATTTACTGCAAATAATACAAAGATAAAGTAATACGTTTGCCACACAGAGCAGATTTGAATAGTTGCAAAGATCATTCTCATCGTTTACGGCACCAACATTTTTCAAAGTTATAGTGACACTGAATTCAATTTTTCAGCGTTAAAATGTTCGTTAAAATCTGAACTCATGTAGTTTCACCACGTGCGTAACAGCATTCGCTGGATTAATGCGTCACATTTACAGCCAAGAATTGTGCTCCCGATGATACGTCATGTCGCACTGATGCTTTTTCACATATACACCACTGCTTCCTGTAGTTGCTCTCAGTTTGCATTTAGATATTCAAACAGACCCCAGCTGCAACTCCCAGCTCGCTGCGCCTCCCCAACCCCATGTGTATATCAGTACACTGAGTATATATCGTGAAATGCCGACAACAAAATGTTTTTAGATGCCACAGTGAAACCCGAGGAGCTAAATCTTCTGTAGTAGTGTAAAATCCTTTATACAAACGTCACCCAGGATGTTCAGGTTGATCACTCACATTTTTACAGCATTAAGTAATAAAATTACTTAATTTTTTTTAATCACAAACATATTTCTAGTAAAGATGTGAAACAGCAGTTTTCTGCTGTCCTAATAAAGAAAGGTAGCTGTTTTAAAACTCTCATACTGATGCGGTGTTGAACATCTACTGACACTTTTTCCACTCGTCTTAAATTTGCATATCTCACGGAAGAATCGGCCTTTTGTTTTGTGTCTGGGGAAACCCACCTGTGATCTGACAGGCGAGTGAACTACATGAGCACAAATGTGCCAAAAAGAAGAAGAAGAAAGTACCAGCTCGATATGCGGGGTTTAGGTTCAGTCTGTCTCCTGAAGCTGATGTGTAATCTGCTCAGACTCGTTTCATGTCGTGTTTCAGGTCATTTAAGGCCTATCTGCTAGCTGCTCCTCCCCAACCCCATCTCATCAACATCTGTGGTGTAACGTGGTTAGGAAACCTCTGGAGGACAGATGGCATTCATCAAATCCACTTAAAACCCTTCAACACTATAAGTAGAAGGAAAACATTATAGGCTCCTGTGGCGGGGCGTGGCCTGCGGTGCCGTGCAGAGGAGGCGGGCGCACCTGTACGGCATCTGCAATCACGCCCCGCCGACTTAAATATTGTACTGGGTCCTGTGGTGGTTGTTGTTGTGATAATGTTGAGCGGGCAGCGGGAGAGCTGCAGCTCTGTGAGTATTGTGGACAGCAACCGTGTGAGTCAATAAAGTGTCGAAATGTCACTGGGTCTGCCGTGTATGTTTACAGCTCCTTGCTCTCATTAGTCCTCGTATCATGTGAGGTTTAGAGTTGATGTTTTAAAATAAAAGAAGACGACTGCAGCCTTAGGGGTCATTTTGGGTAAACGTAATTATTTAGGTTTTAAGACAATCCGTATTCTGCAAAAGCGCCTTGACACTAAGGATCAACAGGTGTTGTGCACTGTTTCAGTCAGAGCTTTGAGTTAAAGTGCTGCGACACATCGGCAGCGGAGTTCCCGTTTAAGCCCTGGCTCGTGGTCCGGGTGGAGCCTTAACACTGCCTCCCAGAGCTGTCCATCAAGTTGTTGGTGGGCGTGTCCTGTGAGCTGGCGTGCGCTGCGGATGACAGGACGTCCTCAAAGCTGCCCCCACTCCCAGTGCCGCCAACCTTTGTCTGGGACAAGAAACAAAGGCGCAAAAGTGTCACTGAAGCTGTCGTTCTTGTTCTGTGGTGCTGCAGAGTCGACTCAAGGTGGCAGACTTTTACAAAGACTGAAGCTGTCGGGCATTTGCAGGGCGTGTACATGGAAACAGGAGTCATTTCACCAGCTTTTGTTCCAACTTTGACGACCACCACAGCAGGTTTCAAATCAAATAATTAACATGTGACTAAAGTACAGATATTCAACTTTGATTCAAGGAGTTTTACCAAAAAATGCCATTAACTGTTTAAGAATTTACATTTTCAGAGGCTCATAAAGTAACTGGACAAACTAACATAAATTTAAATAACCCGTGAACATCACCACATCCTGCTTAACTTTGAGATGCTCTGGTGGGCCTTTACTGCTGTTTGTGGGTCTCTCTGACTTCAGTTTTGTGTTTCATGACTAAAAAGCTGTTCTGCTGGGTTGAGATCAAAGAGCATCCAGTTTCTTTGTCTTTTTGATGAGGTGTAACCAGTGGTTTGCACCTTATTGAAAACCTTCTTTATTTCCATTCATGAAGACATCTCTTTAATGTACACCTTGACAATAATACACCTGCTCTCCTCTTTAACAGTTGTTAAATGTTGTGAACTGGAGTCATGCACTTGAGTGGTTTCCTGTGGTGTTTCAGGCCTTTCGGTGTTGCTGTCAGTGCATTCATTCTTTTTACGACTGCACTGGACGGTTGATTTGGCTACTCTTCACGTTTCTGCTCTTCCTTTGATGGATTTGAAGGGTTTTTTTGTTCTTTTTTTTTTTAGCATGGAGACGGCCTCTCTAACTTGTACTGACATGTCTTTGGGCCTCATATCTAAAATTATAGTGAAAAGCTATGAAATACAAATTCAACACTTTGAAACTTCAGATATTGTGTCTGCTTCGTCTGTCATTAAATAACGAGGGAATACGAGTCACCTGATTACAGAACCGCTTGTCAGTGAATTTTCCAGTTACTTTTCAGCCACTGTTTGTAATTCATGAACCGTTAATGCAGCTGTTTTGTAAAGCCTCTTGAATTAAAGCTGAAAGTCTGCACTTCAATCACAGTTTTATTGTTTGATTTCAAATCCTCTGTGATGGTGTACAGCGGAAAAAATACAGAAATTGTGTCTTAGGCCAAGAAATCATGTACCAAATTGATCATTTACATCACATTTAAAGCATCCATACATGAATGAGTGAAAATGTGCTTTCAGTCCATTTGAAAACCAAAACTCTTAATATAACCCTCTCTGGTGATCTAGTCGGGTAAAAACAGGGTCAGATTCACAGCTTACTAACCCATGAATGTTGCTTCCTAGTACACTCCTCTGGACTCTTACGACTTGTTTTGGTATCATTATAAATGTCAGTAATCAGTGGGTTCCCTGTCAGAGTGTAGGCTCATAATTACACACTAATTATAGTACTTTGTTTTATGCGTCAGTACTTAGAAGCTGCAACCTGACCAGCTTCTTTATGTGCAGCGTTCACATGAAATAGTTTTTAGTTTATCTTGAAAAACATTCAAAAGTGCCTTTAAATGCCTCGGATTAAGTGAGACTACTTTTAAGGCAAACACACTCTGTTTGAGGCTTTTCACATGTTATCACTTTATAATGCTAAATCTCTCTCTCACACACACATGGTTTACCTTGATAGTGGAAACTGTGTTCTCAACTTTCTCTTCAAAAGACCTGAAGCTGGGAGAGTTTCTGTGAAAAAGGGAGGGAAAGATTATTAAAAAATAAACCACATTTTTCTGTCTTATCACATGAGCACACAATTATTTGTGAAATCCTCTTCTGAAATAGAAGAAGCTACTTTTGGCAGTTCCCTTATTCAAAAAGGGGTCATGTTTGATTTGGAAAATATTCTGAAATAACACAATGGGGTTTTTTGTTTTTTTGGTACTGCAACACAAAAAAGTCAAAATGACCTGAAGAAGTGAGCATGTGGAAAAAAACACACCAGGTATTTTTCCAGGTGTGTCAGGGTCAGAGTGCCCTTAACTAAATACAAATCAGTGCAAGGGTTGCATTAACTCTTAAAGACTGCACAGGACTTTTTTTGTGTTAATACACAAAAACTTCAAATTTTAAATGATCATCTCACATATAAACATCTCTCTCTCTCTCACTCACACACAAAGACACGCACAAAAGCACAGAGTGGTTACCTCATGGTGGGCATGCTCATAGAGTGTTTGATAGAGTAACTGTCCCCGGAGAGCGTGGTGAGAGAAGAGTTAATGATTAACACAGGTTACACGCACTCACCAAACGAGAAACAAAGCCAAGAGTCAGAGCAGTGCTTAGCTGTTCTGTTCTGATGCTGTGCATGTGCAGAGTGTGACAGAGGATTATGTACAGGAAAGCAGTTACATGTCAAAAGATATGCAAGCAAGGAATTAGCAGCAGCCACTCCAGAGTTTCTCATGTATTTTCATTAATCTCTCTTCAATAGATTTATTAAATAAAGCTATTAATTTAAAAGTGAAAAATCTAATGTGGTCCTAAATTTGTTTTTTTATTAGCTTAGCTTTAGCACTCTCTGCACACAGGGAAGTGCAGCCTCTCATGTGACTCAGGAAGACAGTTTATTTCCCTGAAAACAAAACTGATGTGATTCATGGCTCAGACCAGAACCTGACTGAGTCCACACTGTGCTGTCAGTTAGTGCTATCAGCTGATCTGACTGAGATCTACTCACTGCAACAGACTCCTTATTTTGATAAAATCTACTGTGTGGCTCCTTACCCTATGGAGTTGGATCTTAGGAAGCATGAAAAAAGACGGAAAAACATTTTAGGATACTTGGACAAGCCGATGTCAGCATTACAGTCACACTCTGTCAGATTCACTTTACCGAACATTAATATCATCAATACAAAATTATTTAACTACAAAAGGCAAACTACCACTACTACACTTATTTTAGGTAACACCAGTAACCAACTCTTTGAAACTCGACTCTTAAAACATGTGTAAACAATCTGTGTTAGAAGAAGAAAACAGAAGAAGAAGAAGGGAAACAGTGTAACAGTGACTGGAAACCCAGCTGTGGAACTCGGTAGACAAACAACAGTGTAAATCATATTTGTAACTGTGTTACAGACTGACTTGATTTGACAGTTTGTTTTCTATTAATCTACATGTAACGTGATTTTCTGTAGGTTGTGGGTTGCTTTTCTTGGCGTCTTTGGTCAGTGTTGCACAGCATTAACACATGTTATACCAGACAGGCAGCTCCTATTCATATTTGCATGAACATTTTCTAAATGTTGCAAGTTAAACCTTTCAACATTTTTTTGTTGATCATAAAATAACAATTATGAGACAGACAGACAGACAGACAGACAGATAGATTTCCACAGCAAAAATATTCAAATAAGTTCATGCCCACACAAACCAAACCTGTGTAGAGTGTGAGAACATACCTCCGTGGGAACAGTAACTCTAGACCAAACATGCTGGAATATACCAAAGATAATAAGTTGTTGCTTTTCTGCAATTGATATCCTCAAAAAAGGATACATTAAATTACAATTAAAGTACTGAAAGTATAGTATAATTTTAACTGTATAATTAGAATAGTATAAAAATATATAAGTATAGTATTGGTATAGAATAATTAAGTGTAATTGTGCTTCCACTTAAAGCCAAAGAAAGCCAAACTCTGCAGAAAAGACTTCTGATTGATTTCACCACTATTACATTATTAATATAAACTATTATTATTATGAAGCACTAGCAACATGGGTGACATATTGTGGTGTCCTCACTGAGCCTTTGGTTCCTAACCTTCAAAAGCTTTTTTTGTTTTCACCTGCACATCCTGAAAATACTTTCTGCATCACCATTGCGCTGTCACGCAGTCATCTGTGCACATTTAACACAGGGACACATGCTTTCCTGCAGAACACCCCAACATTGTGTGTGTGTGTATCCGTCTGTCAAACAGAGCAATGCAGACTGTCAGCTCAACAACAACAGAAAGTGACCAAGGGAGACAGCCGCTGCCTCGAGCCCTTTGACTCAGAAAGCAGCTTAGTGCTTCTTACATAATCTGATGCTGCTTTGAACTGTTTAGACCAAGAGTCAAAACTCTGCTGTCTGAGACACAGAGATGGGTAGCACAGATAGCAAGTGTCACCGAGCTGGTTAAAAGTGGAGGCGCACGCGGGGCAGATGGATTAAACAGGAATGCCTGCGTTCGTTATACAGATGAGGCGATAATGGAGCTTTAAGATGATCAAGTGCCTGCAACGGGCACGTTTAAATGGTATCTTTTGTGAGCTACAAGCACACATGAACAACATTTAAAGACTGAATGGTGAAAAAGTTCAAATACTAAAGCAATTAATGGGATCAATCCATGTGTTTAGACAAAGGAAGCCTGGTTTAATACAAGATGCTCTTGACCCGTCATCAGAACTACTAGCACAGCTTTTATTAAGATAAAATCCACTTTTAGACAAACAATGACTGAAAACCTTCACAAACAAGGGCTTCGATTAGCACATATTCCTCTGCAGAAGGACGACATTTATCACACTATTTGGCGAACATGCTTCACTGAAGAAGCAAGATGACTTTAGACATTTGAAACAGTTTATCTAATCTATGTTTAAAACCGTTTGCAGATCGGGTGTCACAGAAGGCAACGCCATGTGTCCACAGAACAACCAAATTTATTGGGTGACTGTACCCACACGGTTTGCATACTACTGTCACTGTTAAAGCTGTTTGGCAAGTGTGAAGCAGGAAATTCAGTGAACATGCGACCATCAGTCTGTACCTCATATCTCCAATCTTCCTGGTGATGGTGCTGCCGAGCGTGCTGAAGGCTGCCGAGGTTCTCTGTCCCGCTGTGGAAAGCGTCTCTGATGTCTTCTTGTAGCTGCCATAAACCCCAAAACAAAACACACAAAGGTGCGTGCAGTGAAAGATAAAGACGCATACACAACACAGGCTTGTTCGGAGAAAACAAAAGCATGATCATGCTGTAATTAAAACTTGCACTACTGAGTTTTTACAGGAGCAAATGGAATAAGTCACAGCTCATGTTGGGTGATTCTTTTAGCTGATAATTCATGTGTGCAATTATTTTTACAAAGCATCACTTCAATCACTGGTAATAAAACGAACCATCTAGCTTATTTTGAAATTATTTGTTAGCGTTTTAATAATCACTGACAAAGATGTGGTTTCACTTTTAACAGTCAAGCCTTTTAACTAAAAAAAAAAAAGCTATTATAAATTAGCTGCTTCACATTTGGTGAGTAAAAAGGTGAACACATCACTTTAAGGCCCTACTTTGCTTTTTTGTATTGTAGAAATTTGACATGAATTTATGTTGGGCCTGTTTGCATCCAGATCATCTATCACAGCTTCTCGCATGTCTGTGTTGCCCAGTTTCTCTAGCACCACACATTGCTGTGGTCACCCTGGTTCATTATAGATGAGGATGGAGTCTGTGTGTAAGGTGATCTTCGGTGAAAAGTGTAACTGGATAAGAAAGCTGGCCTTCAGAGACTATCCTCTTGCTCTTCTTTGTCTCTTGCTGTCTGGATAAAAGCTCAGTGCTGACCATCTGATCAGAAAATTTGATTGTTTCTCTGGAGACAGAGACACTAAAAGATCTTACAGAAACAACATTTTGGAGATGAGAAGATGGCTCTTTAGCTTAGTATTCCCATCAAGAGACTTACCAAGTATCTTTGGAGCTAACTATTATCACCTGGTCTTGTACAGATTAATGAAAAATTAAAAGGAAAACCCAACACAATAGTATTTGGGTTCCTGCTAAGGTGTTAGGTTAATACATGCTGCCAGACCAGCTTCAGTGTGTCCTAGCATGTCTCTGAAGGTCTAGTGAAGGGATAAAAAGAATTCTTATAGAAAACATTCCCGATCACAGTGATAAGGAACGCAGTGTAACAAGCACTGGATTCACATGAGATGTGGTGACTGGGCATGATTCACTACTTTTCATTTTCTCCAACCATCTGGATGTTATCTTTGAAAAAAAAAAACACTCCTTTTGAGATAGAAATGTAGGATCACTGGGTAAATTTGATCACTTTGCACTGCTAAACCATCATCTGTTTGTCCATCCGTTAACTATCCCTGCTTGTCCTACAAGCCTGAGTCGATCGCAGTGCCATGCATGCAGAGCATTTCAGAACCACCAGATCTTCTTACTATGGAGGTCGAGGCTTTCTGTTTTCCTTTTAATTTGTCACCCTCTGAAATATTTTGGAAAGAACAGAAAACCAGCACATTTCCCCAAACTCCAAACTATTCCTACTAATCTTTAAATAAGATCAACTCCTGCAGATCTGCATGAACATCAAAGCCCCGGTAAAATCAAACCTTAAACCTGCAGGGCTGCACGTTTTGTACCATTTCATTCACTATTAGGTTGGTAGATAGTTGTACACTTTTTTTAAAGCACACAGTTGAAATCAATATTTCTTTAAGGGAATTTCTTTTTTCAGAAATACACCGACAACTTCTCTTTAAAAAAAAGAGAAGTACACAAACAATAAATGTTCCCTGTTACAGGTAGGGAAGTGACATTTAAAAGAAAATCATAGTACAGTACAATGACTTCCAGCTGCTAAAGGGAACATGTACTACTAATTGTGCACTGAGGACAACCATAGCCTTCAGCACTGGGTGATGTGTTTTGATCAGGTTTATGGTGTCTGTTACAGTGAGCACAACAAAGATAACAAATCACACACATGCTGTGCAGCCAGGAGCAGAACATTATGTTTTTTTAATTAGCTTTTTGATATCTGGCACTCGTTTTGGATAGTCAACGCTGGTTGTTAAGAAGAGAGAAACCTGCTCTTTGTGTGATTACTTTGAGTGTGTCCTATGAAGGGCATCAGTGTTTACAGCTAACATAAAAGCCATTCTGCTGTGTACACTTCGAAACACACACCTTATTAAGCACACAAATTCTTTCTTTGTTTTTTAGCTGTGTGATGTAGCCTGTACTGTAACTTACGCTACTGAGCTCTGCATGTCGTGCCAGCCTCTGCTGAAGTTGGTTTTGAGCTCGCTCAGAGGAGTGATGCCCAGTTTCTGTTTGAGCTCCGCATGCTGCTTCTCTTTGGAAGACAAAACCTGCCTCAGTGTGCCGATCTCCTCTTCCAACTGGACACGCACAGAAAGACACAGAGCTTCTAAAGTGACTTCATAGACCGAGATAAAAAAGTCGTCATTTTAATGCTAAAGATATATTTGTGTTCTTGTGTGTGTGTGTGTGTGTGTGTGTTTACTTTAGCTAACTCTTGCTGAATCTCCTCCCTCTCTTCCTCCGTCATGGAGGCGCTCAGGTTGACCTCTGACACAAAGTCTTCATCAGCCTCTCTCAGTGGCTCCGAGTCTAGAAAACCTGTGTGAAACACACACAAAGGCACCATAAATGCACTTTAGTGTGTCCATGTGTGACCTTAAAACTGACGACACCCTAATGACAAGGTGTGAATTCAACATTTCAAGGTGATACTTATGTTTAAAATCTGGTCTCTGACCACCAGTAAATCTGTACTTGGTGCCGATTTATTTCCTGGTATTGTTACTTGTTTTGTTGCCATTGTGTATTTTTAAATGAGCCATGTCAGAGACAATCTGGCATCCATGCCTCATTCTGACTTTTTCTGCTTTATCGTTTTCTCTGACTCTGCTTTTTCCATGTTTTCTGTGTCTGTCTCCATCTCTGATCGTGTCTCTGACAGTTATGTAATCTAAGGGTTCTGGCTGTAGTGCCCTAATCTGGCTTAACTGATGTGGATTATCGTGCTTGAACTCTGCTGACCAACACCACAGGCAAACACAAACACTAACGCACACTCAAACAAGATGGGTTGAGACTTCGGGGAGGAGAGCAAATTTCAAGTTGCAGTGATTGATTTTTAGTTTTGTAGCAAATGAAAAACATGCGCATGGGGAAAAGCGTTGAATTGAGATTAAAGACATTATGTAAAACCTCCGCTTGTTTACAACAGTAGCATCGCAGCCGTCTGCCCAACTTCTAGCTATAAGAAATGAAATATGATTAGACAGGACAGGTTTATATGATAAACATTTTTCTGTCAGATTCTGCCACCAACAGAAATATTTACAGTGATTTCCTGTGAACAGCATGACGCTGACAGAACACACACATACTTCAGATACACAAACAGAATGAAACAACTACAGTAAATGACGCTTTCTGATTAGCAATGTTTATTTACCTTTTAATTCTATTGAAATAATAGTTGCAGAGAGGTGCAAAGACCCAAAATAAAGCATGAACTGAAGGTGAACTCGTTTAGACTATTTTAGTATGATCCGTCTCAAACTGTTGCACCATTTGCTTTTATGATATTTGTAAAGGGCTTAACAGCAGCACACATTACCAGGAAACAGCAGGAGGGCAGTGTACACACAACGCAAGAAAGGTAAATACACGCAAGCCGTGTGTCAATGAGCACTTAAAGTTATCCCTTTAAATGCTGACTTAGACGCCATTTCGACAAGATGGAAGTAAAACGTTTTCACGTACCTGCGGTGAGGTGTCCCCTCTCTTGATGTGGCCGCATTATAAGACAGGTGAGGGGACAGTGAGGTTAGTAAAGACTAATGTACTGCACTGTGTCGCCACTCTCCACTGACTGTAGTGGCTACTTTAACATATCAGCAGTTCAGTTCTTTGAAAACTAAGGTTAAAGGGGACACAGCAGCAGCTCATGCAGCAAACTCACACACAAAAACAGCGTACAGCACGAAACTCAAGCACAGCTTGCAGCAGTTCAGTCTGTTGCAGGTCTTTCTATAGTAAAGAGCTTTTTCTGCTAACATTACACAGCAGGAGGACAATGAGATTTTAAACCCCTGCGGTTTCAATAGAAGCTTTTCATGTCTGTCTTAAGTGCACTCAGAAAGCAGTGTCCCTGTTTACACAGCCTTAAATAGCCAGGCAGAGCCCTGGTTTAGATATTTTCTACCAGAGTTGGTAAAGCTTGGGAAGCAAAACACTACACAACACAACACAACACAACACACCATCTCTGCTGAAGTTCGTCTGCAAGGTTCAGATTTTTTCTTTTCAAAGTGCTTTTGAATATAAAGGTAAAAACCACTGCAAGGTAGCTATGAATGACCACATTTGAGTGCTGTTCTTTACTTGTTAGCTGAGGATTTTTGCAATTTTTTTGTGGCTAACCTTGATTTCCTTTTAGCTAACTTTTTTTTAAGACCTAAGCTATGTCTGTCCGTCCAAAACCTTTGAGGTCCACCAAAATATTGCTTTAGCTAAGAAAAACCCTGGTTAAGAGTAGTTATAAGGCATCTTATTTGACAGTGAAATATAGATAAGAGTGAAAGGGGAATAACCTGCAGAAAGGTTAATGTTCATTGGGTAAAATCAAACAGATAGACATTGAAAACAAGATTCAGTGTAAGATCAGGTACTGACAATCTCAATTTCCCAGGTCTTCACACAGGTCTAGAGACCAGTTGGGGATCCTCTAACAAGCAGTGGTTGCAAAGGAAAAATGTGTGTTCTCTGACTGGCTGGCAAGTGGTTGCTGGCAGTCGCTAGCAAGAAACTGGTTGCAAAGAAACGGTGCTGCTGCAGTAGAGGCGATGATTGGTCGCCTTCAAAGTAAAAGTTTTACGATAATACACAGCATTTGATTTCTCCGTGTCTAATTGCTGTCACACTTTTTCAAATGTTGCTGAAGCTCGTGGTTTGTTAGCAAGTGTTTGCAGGCAAGTCTGTGTCTTCCATGCAAACTACAGTGGACGGTGACAACCTGCTAGTGACAAAAGCAATCACAAGCAAGTTTTAGCTGTGGGACGTTCTCTGCGACTGACTTCACCTGGCAACAGCAACCAGTTCAGAAATACACATTTCCCTAGCAACTAGAGGTTGCCAGGTGTCAAAAACTGGTCTCTAGGCCCGTGTGACTGACACTTTTTAATTAAACAGGAGCAGTGGGCCACTAGAAATGTGCAGGCAACATCTAACAACGAGAAGATTAAACTTTGTGAAAAGTTGCAATGCTAATTTTATGTTGTTTTTATAATACTTACAATATACAACCATTTTTTTTAAAAACCATGTTCTACAACAAAAAAAACTTTTGATTGAACACTTAACATATTGTTGACTCTTGGTAACAGAAAGAAAATAAATTCCCCAAAAAATTGCAGGAATTTGGATTTATTAAATTTATCTGATTGGTTAATTGTTTGATTGCATTTTCCTTGTTGCTGCTGTTAGGCTGAGTGTGGTCTATATTTGAGACTAAATGCAAACTGTATTGAATACAGTGGGGTCTGTGTGTTTGCTTTTTAATTATAACCGCTAGGGATACATCCCATGTGAAATTCTAGATGGCTATTATGTTAACGTGACACAAGTGATAAACAACAGTCACTGCCACCTCTGAGTGCATTCTCATTTGAGGACACCACAAAAATCATGTATCGGCAGATACAAATAATTCAATCGTTACTGAGATAAAAGACTGAATTTAGTTTTTAATGGCTTTGTCACAGATCAAATTGCCTGATGCTTACCATGTTGCTTGTGCCAACAGAAGCCCTAGGGGTAGCTGTAGGTTTAAATGTTCAGCCAAAGTGAAGGACTGATCTAATCTACAGGCTCTATATCTACATCCCTTGTCACCTGTGCTGTCCAGCTGCATATCCCAAGCGGTGGACGTGGCCCAGGTGTCAGACACTGATGTGTGACCCCACCGGCTGTCGCCTGAGGGTGAAGTTTTACCCCATTCTGTCAGGTTTTCCCCATTTTGGACGACGGAGGTCAAACCATATGAGCTTTTCCTAAGGGACTCCTCATCAGAGGGGTAAAGCTTACCCTGATTCAAACCTGAGCAAAGTCACAGTTTAAAACATGTTCAGTACCTGAGGAAAACAGAATTTTTAATTTTGCAAGCAATTAGTTCTTTTTTAATATTTTAGCTTAAGGAAGGGGAAAAAGGCAAAAGTGGGAAAGCTCACAGGCTGTGAAACTGCCTGTAAGCGTAGAGGAAGTTCCTGCAGACAGAACAGAGTGCTTACTGGTTTAAGGGAAACACAGGAATGTGAGTAATTTCATACTAAGGAAATCATCCTATCAGTCAGCAACATCTCATATAACTGCCAACGTTTTTTTGCCAGTGATTTTACGTATACAGTATATCCCTCGAATGGTTTGCACTGTAACAGAATTGCATTTTCTTCCAAAACTGATGAAAGATGTTGAAACTTCACCCAGCGGACACAATGTTAGCATTTACAAGGTTTCATAAAACCTATGCAGGCTTTTTAAAGGCGACAGCTGCATGTGGTGGAAGAAAACACAATTGGTGAGAGCTGAGAGTGTTAAATGAAACGGTAACGTTGTGTACCGCAATACCAAAACAATCCACCGAAGATGTTAAAATGCACTGCAGGGCTGAGGTGGACCATAATTTTCTGTAGCTGTGAGCAAAAACCTGTCATATTACACGTAATATATATTTTTCTGTTCTATTGCAGAAACATTTCGTGTGGTTTAAATGCATTCCCACATATACATTCATATTTCAGGTCTTTGAAAAAATAGATTATTTGTGTTTTAACAGGTATCATGCACTCAAATCAGCCTGATCACTGCTGCTTTGGGTAAAGTTATATCAAATTCAATGAAAGGAATGACTTTCCCTTCAATTTAAGGAATAAAATTCCAGTCTTTTTGTCTTTTTACTTGTTGGTTTATTCACGCAGACCAAACTCACTCATCTGACTGTTCATTAAATCAACACTGAATAACAGAGTTGCAATAAGTGCTACAGTAATTCCTTATAGATAGGCACCTTTAAACATTCTGCACTTTTACTGTACCGGCATCGCAATCAGCGATGCTTCAGCATTGCTCAGAGCACCACTGCATGACGTGGTTTTATGCTTTTTGTGATTCAGGGTGGATTTACGGGTTTCTTTTGTTTTACTGGGAGAGTTGAGTCTTACCCTGCTCTCCCTCGTGTATGGCTGAATCAACCCATTCCTCTCCGGTGCCCATGCTGCCCCAGTCCACCACTGATCCACTCAGAACACTAGAGTACATCTCTGCAGCGGAGCAAGGCAGCAGGGTGAGGGGACACAAGAAATCCGGTTATACATGCAAACATGGAGACTTCTCCTCCCTGACAGCTGTAGTTAGGCCCAACTCAGTGCAGGAACAGGAAACCTGACTTTTGACCCTCTGTGCCACTGATATGAACTTCTCCGAGCTCTTTAAACAGGATGTAGCTTCTTATTATTATTTTTCATTCACAACGGGATCTTGTATAACTTTGAAACAATCCAGAAAGAATATCTGAAGCTATTGGGCAATACAAGCTCCCTTCTTGCAGATGAAATCTCATTACACCACACTCCAGCACTACAGGAGGAAGTTGGCCAGGATAAGGCCAGTTTCACTTACAATATGTCCCTCTGGTTCCACATTTTGACAATGAGGCAAAGCTGACTGGCAAAAACAGTTTTTCCAGGGAAGAAAAAGATCACGCACTTGGGTGGAAAAACACTGAGCATACATTTTATCTAAAAAGCATGTTTTATGGTAATAAAGAAGAATAATTTCCTCAGAGGTGGGTCTTATACAGCAACATGTGATTTTAGCCACTCAAAGCAGGTCATACCGGACTGTGAGGGTCTTTTAGCACTAACACTGATTTATGTCATAGGGTGCTCAGAAGAAAACTGTCTCCTTCTTTACTGTCCATTCTGTGTGTCTCCTCCCTCCCCCTGCTTTTTTGTGGGGGTGAAATACCTTTGGTCACAAGATTACCATTCGGCCCAGCGGTCATGTGGCTATGCTAAATCAGAGGCTTGGGGATGGTCATATGGCTGAAAAAATTAATTAAAGCTGGCAAACAGTAGATACTGCACATAACATTTACAGCAGTTAACACAAAAAAAATCCCTGTTCCAGACATTACAGCTCCTTGTACATGGGTAACCATGAAGTATAACCAAAAGTATTGCTTTATAATCACAAATAAGTTGATTATAACGTTCATATTCCCATATCAGTCTTTTTTCCCTTTTTCTCCCTCTCTAAGCCTTTCCGGCTTCCTGTTAGCTGTAACAGGTACCTATTTAGAACCAGACTGCAAAGGAATGCAATTACCTACCTGAATAAGCAATCCTTTATATCCCACACAAGCGGAGCTACTGCTCGAGCTCCAGCTTTCATTTTCACAATTCATTTGGTCTGAGCAGTCAGTCAACGTTATTTATCTATAGCTTGGAGTCACTCTGTACTCTAAAAATAACACAGATTCTTTGCACTGCTGTAGAAAACGAAAGCAATGCGTCTTCTGTAAGGACTTCTGCAGCAGTGATTTTATCTCCTGCAGCACCTGCAGCAGACCAAAGCGCAAAGGTAGTGGACAGGGGGAGGATGGAGGGGGGCTAAGCCAATTCCTGAGGTGAATAGAAAGCATTCTGGCTTTGCAGAACTTCCACAAATAGCCTGAAAGTCACCACATAGAGGGGGTAAACAGTAGCCAGCCCAGGATTTGGTCAGGAGTTTCCATGTCGTCTTACAGTGTGCGTGCGTGTGTGTGCCTGAAGCTTCTTAACTGTTGCACTGCTTCTTAAAAACGCAGCTCCCTCCACAAACAGTCTTTACACTGAAGGCGCCATGCAGCAACAGATGAAGCTGACATAAGCAGCAGCAGATGCTCCGCTTTATACACTTTTTTCCCTCTTCTCCATTCCCACAGCGACGTCATAACAGTGGCGCGTGCAACACTCAAGTTCAGCTCATTATCAGATCAACTGGAAACAAAAAGTAACGCTGCGGATTCAGTTATCCCGGTTTGAGAGGTAAGAAACGGCACTCACTCACCTTGCTGCCTGGTTTCCATGAGCGACGCACAGATGAGCTTCACAACAAATAATAATAAAACAAAACGCGCTCTGAGTCACACAAGGATCGGCCGCACGCGCAGCTGCACCGCTCCTCGGGTCAGTCCGTGTGTCAAGTTTCCTTGGATGTCACGCGCTGGGCCAGTTCCCGGGCGGAGCCTGCAGCGCGAGCCAATGAGCGCGCGCAGTTTTAATGTAGTTAATTTGCTCCGTGCACAGGAAGCTGCGCTCGGTGGACACAACGAAGATGCCACAGCTACAAAGGTCCAGAAAATAAACGTGTTTGTTGGAGGTGGAGAAATATTTTCATTATTTAAAAAAAAACGTAACATAATAATACAAATAAAGAGATAAAAATAAGGTAAATATTTAAATGTAACCATCTTGGATGTTGTGAGCTACTAGTACATATAAAGTAGTGCATGTACTACACCTCTGCACTGTCTGTGCACTTATTATTTCACTCATGTCTAATTGTACATTTTTTAATCGATGCTTTCATTTTGTGCTGTTATTTAATTATATTTATTCATGTAATTTTTTCTAATGTATTTTTATTCCCGTGTTTAACACTTTGGTCAGTGGTTTCTGTTTTTAAAGTACTTTATAAATAAGGTTGGCTTTGCTCTTACTGGTGTGTTTGTACCACTCCTGACACGACTACTCACACTTCAGTTGAACACTAAATAAGCCACGTAATGTTACTACTTGTTTTTAAGCCATTAATGAATCTGCCATGTTTTCTTTTCAGCATTCATTACACCTCTGTTTTAGTGTCTACTTGTTCATAGGAAATAATGAGGTTTTGGCCTTAGACTGCCCATGGTTATGTTGGCTTCGCCTCCTCTGGTGCACTTATGACCCCTGCTGACATAAAACTGCAGTCACAGCCGTGCTTACATGAATACACAGACTGTAGCCACTTAAACACCCTGTCAAACAGACCTCAGAAAGAGTTGCATAATTGAGAAAGGCCTCCACTTTATCTACGAACAAAGAAGCAGACTGTTTCGGTGATGCTTTAATCTAAAAAAAGAATCAGGCAAACCGGGGCATTTTGGCATTTGACTTACTTTACTTTATTCCCTGTTAATAAAGCAAATGTTCAGGAGAAAACAGTGTTTGTGCCTGGCTAAGTGAGCAACAATAACAAATATTACCAGCAGATGTTTCAGCAGGTGGAAGAAGGTTTTCCTGGTGAAAACAAGGAACATATTCATCAAGCGTCTCTAACATTTCCTTGAATAGAAATACCCGTGGATAACTGTGTGGCGTGTACACATAAACCTGCTGCTGTTGTCGTTCCAACAACTTTGCATGTCTAGATAGGGAAAACCCAACCCGATGTTACTGATAGTACACCACCATATTGCAACATCACTTGTCCTGAGTCAAACTTATGCTGAAATGACACTGAAATCTTTATTTTTTTTGGCGTGATTAACTCTTTCATCGAGACAGGGTTAGTCCCGTGTTGGCCTTAAATTATATTCATCTGATGAGTGCAACAGCCTCCTCGGATTAATCCAAAGAGCGAGTCGGAAATATGGTGACAGAGTAACTTGTGCAAAAAGGTACAAAGAGTATTTGGGATGTAGCGAAACCCACTGGATTGTGGCACTTATAAAATTTCAGAAGTTTAGTTTAATCTGAAACTATAAAACATATTTTTAGCAGGAAAACACTGAGTCATCTGCATATCTTCTGTGTGGTATGGGTAAGACATCCATAAATATATATTCCTTCAACAGTAGTTTCAGACAAATTTATTTTACATCAAGAAGCCTGTTGTACTGCTCTATTAACTGTTCTAATAAATAACACATACAACAGCAGGCTGATAAGACTGCACCCTTGTCTGTAATATTTGCAGGACCCTGAATAAAAAGTTGGTAATCTGATCTATTGTTGACGTGAAGGCACCATTGCATATTTATGCCAATAAAACCGGTAATGTCATATAAACAAAACAAAACAAAGACCATGGGTGTCAACCAGCCAATGCTTCCCAGCAAGGGGAAAAAAAATCATGACCTGAAACAACTCTAATGTCACTAAATGAATATACAGAGCAGCTTCTGGTTACAGCTTTAACCAAAGAGCTCCTGGCTATAGTAACACAACAACAGTAACAACAAAGATGGGATTTCTGCATGGCATTAGCACTGGGCAGAGTTATGCAACACAGATGTGTATAAAAGGGTAAAAACCTGATGTGACATGGAAAAAAAAACATCCCATAAGACCTCAATTATCTGTATTTACAAAAAAAACAAAAACAAAAGGTAAATTTGCCATCTTTTTTTTTTCTACGAGCTAACCATTAAAGAAAAATTGAAATTTAGGAAAATGCTATAGAAATAGTCTAAAGGACATAACCGTCATATTCTCTGTCAACCATTTAATGACTTTAAAAAAAACAAAAACAAAAAAACAAGCAGCAATTCAATACACCAGTGTAGCTGAAACGTGCCTGCATGAAATGCATGTGAGTAAATGTTAAAAGCATTCAGTTTGGCCCATTCATTGCACATCCGCCTCCATGCTGCTGATTTACTAATACATATTGTAATGTACAGGTTTAACCCGTGACCAGAGTGCAGACCGGACAGTGGCGGCTGCAACCAGACAGTTTGATCTTCTTTTGACACTACAGTGGTTTTACTTCCTGGAATTTAAACCAGGGTTTCTAATCCCTGAAGCTCCAGGCATCGGGAAGAGCTGCGACTCCAGAGTGCAGTTGAGGATATCTGTGGCACAGCTCAGGTGAGATGGGAGGCTCTGGGTTACAGTGAAGAGAAAAGCAAACTTCCTGAGAGCAGATTCAAACCCAGAATCGTGACCCTGTTGTGGTTGTTCAGATCGGGTGCGTAACAATCTGTGTATGTATATTGCGCCTACAGCTGACACGTTGTATGTGTTAACTCCCAGATGTAGAAAAGAGATCAGGTCATGGGATAAATCCCAGTTAATGGCATTGCACTGCAAATCATCCAATCATCTGCTTCAGTGATGAAACGTGCTGTAATATTCGCTCCGACGGCAACTGCTACGGATGCACAGACACAAACTTCCCGCCTTCAGCCACAGTGTTTATTTCAGATTGAGACATTTCACCTGGAACCTCTCATCACTTGGCCTTCCACATATTTACTCACTCTACTGTGTCGTCTCTTTGTGTTTTTCTTAATGCGTCTCCTTTAAAATGCCATCCCCACTGCATGAAAAAGAAAAAAAAAAAGAAGTCTGGGACTGATTTGGAAGCCGTTTTCACTTCCACAATGCACCACTGGGAAGATGTGTGCTATTTTCACATATCAGAAGTGTGGAGAAAAAAAAATGCAATTGGTTTGGATGCTTCCTTTTTCTCTGTGGCTGCTGCAGCAATTGAGCTTTGTGTACTGTAATCACCCGCCTCTCCACATCCACTCACAGCTGAGGTCAGAGTCCAGTCACACCTCACGGGGCAGCGGCACGGACAAAAGATGTTAAAGGACAATCACGAGGCATCAAAGGTATATATATATATATTAAAAAAAAATGAAATAAAGCAAAAAACAAAAAGAGTGACAGGATAAGTGGAGAGAGCAGCTGGCTGACTGCTGCCAGGTGGCGACCTTTAAAGCTCTTAAAAATCCGTCGTTTCCTGGCAGTGCTCGCTGTGCGCGCTCTCTCTCGTGCCAGTGCGAATGAATTCAGAGGTTTGCGTCAAAACTGCTTTGTCACTATCCAAACTGTCAAGCAGGCAGACAGCTTCAAACAAACAAACAAACAAAAAAACACAAAACTGATCCACATACAGCTGACATCCAAATAAACTGGATGACCTTAAGAACAATAACACCCTGTTTAGCTCTTTGGTAAACCGCGGGCCTAACTCTACATTCTATTCTCTGTCTTTTCAGTCAGTTTCTGGTCTTCTAAGCACTTTCCAACTATCTACCGTGCTTCTACAGCTTGTTTTCATCCCCGTTTCTTGTGCACACTCCATTACACCTCGTCGACACCCCTGCAAAAGTTCGCGTCTAAAAGAACAATAAAAACAAAACAAATAACAAAGGGAAACGGTAAACCGTCTATCCCGCCATATTCAGCGCTTTGTTTTGGCACAGCAGCTCCTTTTTTTTTGATGATGCAGATACTGGCATACAGCATGTAGGCTCACTGGAAACAACATGCCATGCAGAGAGGGAGAGTGTAAACCAGCATCAGCTCAGACAGACAGACAGACAGAGAGGTGGTTCAAAAAGACAGCAAGAGAGACGGAGACAGACAGGATGAAGGTTTGATGGAAAACCGTAACAGAAAACAACAGAGGCTTGTTAGAACTCCAAAGGGCCTTCCAAAGTTTCACTTTCATGTGTGTTAGTGTGTGTGCGGTCTTTAAAACCAGACGTCACTCTTAAGGTTGGGTACACACCCAATCTTCAAACCTTCTAGCGAGAATTTGAGAGGCAGTCGCTGTTACCCAGAATAGTCAAGTATCATCCTTCCTTTGACATTATTGTCCACGCTGTCGGTTTGCCAGATACTCAAAGTGCGATGGAAATTTTTCCAAATATCTGACCTACGCTGGGAAAAGTTGAGGTCCAGCTTGCGTTGCATCAGTGAGAACTTGATATCAATGCTTGTTCCAAATTCATTTCCATTTCTCACCCTTTTTTCCTGCAGCCAACAACGGCAAAAACAACCTTTGCAAATGAATAAAAACGTATTTCCTTCTTTTTCATCCGCGAGGCTCTGCTATTACCGTGCAGCCGGCATTTCTGGCACCTTCATAATTACCGGTATCCGACACAATCAAAGCCTCGTGTCCACAGTATTCCTACATCTCAGCGTCAAACTAACCGCAGGTAGGAAAGCAAGGGCGCAAACCAAACTGCGGCTGTTTAAGCTGCGATTTATGGTTGTTCTCCTTTAAAATAATGAAATAAAAAGTGTGACATTCGTGGAAAATGTGCACTGATTTAAACTTCCTGCAGTGTATCCAAGAAAGTCCTCAGAAGTTCCTACATTTAACATCCTCTATGTGACGAGCACTGTGCAAGCTGATCGGGGGGGGTGGGGTTGCTTTTTTTTAACTTTTTTTTTAAAATTACTCTTCTGCGTAAATATCCAGCATCCTGATACAGCATTCATTTTGCAGTAGTCCCACTTGAGAGCAATGATCCAGATGTAAAGATGTGCATTCATGTAGGCCTCACGTTATAGATTTAGGTACATCATTCCACCTGAGGTCCTTCCTAACTGCCAGTGTTTCGTTTGTGTTGCTCATCTCAAGAGTTTTGTGATGACTCAGGCTGGCAGGTCTGTCCCTGAGGAGGTGCGGGTGTTGTCTTTCCAAACCGTGTGTGTGTGTGTGTGTGTGTGTGTGAGGTCTGCGTGGAAAGAAGGACGAGCTTCAGATCCATCGTCCAGAGCCTCTGGTGCGCTGCTGCTTCTTCCTCTTCTTGCACACGTAATAAATCGGGAAAACAACCAACCCTACAAACAGAGAAGGCAGAAAGTGCAAAAGAGGTCAAACTGCTGTCCTGTCTACAAGCATTAAATATTCTCTGTTGTGCAGCACTGCAAACAAATGTGGAGCTGAAAGGCATCGGAGAGAGACGGCAGCACAACGCTGATTCTATTAATGATGAACCCGCCATCATGCCTATCAGTCCGCAGAGGACCATCAGTCGGACTTACAGACGCAGGAAACAGATTAACATTAATTACACTAATAACTACAGGTCAGCTGAGGCATGAGCAGTTCACAGTGCAGTCTGATTAGTCTGTAGCTGGATGTTCTTGCAAATGTACAGCACTGTGCAAGTCTTGAGCCCCTGACCTTCCTCATTTCTTTATATTTTGCTGGGAAAACTGGAGCAATGAATTAAAACCTGCAAACATACACGGAGCTTAAAGGGCTTTAAAGTCAGTATTTGGCATGACCACCTTTGTTCTTCAACACAGACTGAACTCTCTTAGGCAGCTTTCTTTAAGTAGTCTTTAGGAATAGTTCTTCTAGATGGACATTCAAAGCTCTTATGCTGATGTTGGCTGACTTTTGTTCCATGACTGATAGTGTTCCACTGTGTGCTTTTTATTTAAATCCAGGTATGTTTTTACTGCATTGGCAGTGTGTTTGGAATCATTTTCATGCTGCAAAATGAAGATGAGGCTTCAGTGAAAAAAATTCTGAAGGGGAGCTGCATCTCTCGGGTCTCTCGTCAGGTCTGTGTTGAATTTCTAGCTATTTCTTAAGTTACTGTTCATCCGCTGTAAATCTCGTCTCCCTCAAATCTTTAGGGGCATGACTTCCAGCTAAAATCTCTTTGGGAATCACTTTGCTGGTGTAAAAATATTATTTCATAACTGTGAAACTGCCTTATCTTTCTTATCTAAAAAAAATAGAAACAAATGATATGTTTTTGCTATAACAAAGTGCAAATTTTAAAGATAAAACTGAAATTGGTCCACTGCTAGGTTGTCTCTTATGTGTAGACACAACACTAGTTCATCCTTTGTGTTAGCTATATTTTTAAGCTTCGGGTCAGGTACAGGGACTGGACTGAAACAGAGTGAAGAAGCAGCCAATGTCCTAAGACAACCTTCAGAAAGCCCAGAGAACTGATTCTCAAAACCACCATAAAAAGTTACAAGAAAGCTTTGTTCATTGGAAGCCAAATACCAAGAAATTAGGGGTGACTCAAGACTTGCACAGTCCTGTCCTTCCAGGAAGCAATAATTACTCCATTATAGTGTTTCTCTGGATCAACAGCTTTGTCCTTTTGGAACAGAAAAAGTGAACTTTTACAGAAAATAAAAAGATGCCCATGACTGAAAACAGATGATAAGAGAGGTCCTTAGCAGCCTGGAGGAAAACAACGAGGCGAACCATCTCGCTGATAAGTGTTGACTGCTCTCGCCGAAGCAGATTAGAGCTCACGTGTGTTTGTAATATGTTACCTATCACCAGCGCGAGAGCTCCGAGCACCACGACCAGCAGAATGACCACAGGAGCTATCAGCACCTTAGAGGCTGCAGAGAGACACAAGCAGAGGAAAAGATGATTGTCATTTTTTTTTCTCTTCATAAATTGCGACATTTGGTCATCGGTGAATAGCTGCGGGATGGAAGTTACTGTAACTACAAATTAACTCCATCCGCAGTGTAATGTTCTTTATTAAATGCTACATCTTTGCCGCTAGCAGTGCATGGCACGAGAGCAGTTATGAGCGCTGTAATGGGCCAGTGGCTCGTGTTAAGCGACAAATTAGCTCCCGGTTCACGGGCACCCTGCTGACATAACGAGCTGAAGCTGTTGCTGAGAGCAGAGTGAAAGAGAGCTATCAGAGGGGATTGCATGTATTTGATAACAGTGAATGGATAATAAGAATGAACATCTGATATGTGATTCTA